CCCGGCGTTTGTTTGTTTTTTCAAGACAGGGTTTCTCTGTGTAGCCCTGGCTGTCCTGGAACTCAATCTGTAGACCAGGCTGACCTTGAACTCAGAGATTCACCTGCCTCAGCCTGAGTGCCAAAGGCGTGCACTGCCACCACCACTGGGATGTAAGCACTCTCAAGCCCTGGACTTATCTTTCCAGCTGTTTGGTTTTTGTGAGACAAGGTCTCACTATGTAAACCCAGGTGTCCTGGAACTCACAGAGGTTGCTTGTCTTCACCTCTCCAGGGCAGGAATTAAAGGCATCAACCAATCCTGGATCCACCTTAAAAATGTACTGAGTTTCATGCACATATACAATGCATTCTGGTCACACTTACCCTGCCCACCAGCCTCCCTCCCACCCTCTCCATCCCACTGTCATGTCTTAGTGTTTGCTTTGTGACCCAATGGCTTGAGCCAGAGCCTTGTGTGTGGTCATGAGCATTGGCACTAGCCATTGTAACTCACCAGTGGGTATGTTTTGTCTCTTTCGAGACAAGGTCTCACTGAACCTGGAATTTATCTAGTCAGCTGGGCTGTCCAGCTGGCCAGAGAGCTTCAGGAATCTGCCTGTCCTGGCTAGTGCAACACACCACTGTTCCAGGCTTCACACAGTGCTGGGGATCCCAACAAGTCCATTATGCTGTGCAGCAAACACTTGACGCGCTGTCTCCAGCCCCTCAGACCTGTCTGTGGCAGCAGAGAGGCAGGGCAGATGGAGGCCCTCGGTGCCCTGCAGACAGCCTCTCCCAGCTGCCCTGAGTGGCAGATCTGTATTTTCCTACACACCTCACAGCTGATAGACAGGCTGTCAACTCACCACTCTAAGAGAAGTCACATAAAAGGCTTTCTACATGTGGTGCACACCATTTTCCTAACAAAACCAACAGGAAAGTATGCAAAACGAAGGACTCAAAAACTTTAATTATAAACAGTCTTACATCTTTTAAGGAAGTCCAAGTGAGGCAACCTCCTTTATAGACCCGACTCCCTGTGATATGTGAGTCACCTGCGCATTTTAAATCAGTCTAAGAAAGCAACGGGAGGCGAGCACAGGGACCAAGAGTGTCTGCCACTCCCTGGCTGACTGGATGAAAGAAAGCACAGACAGACAGACACTCGGAAGTCCGAAGGGAAAATGGGGTGGCGGCTGGAAATACCAACGACACTGCACTGAAGTAGTGAACCTTAAAGAAACTCAGACCCTAAACAGGCAAAAGCCCATGAGTCACCCACCCCGGTGACATTTCAGGGAATGTCACCAGGTTATACAGTAAAGGGTAACGCAGAGAGGGCTTGACCGAAACAGTCATTAGAGTGAGAGCCTGTAGGCAGATGAGTGAGGGGATCCCTTGGTGGCCAATCAGTACCTGAATGTTAAATCGTTTATTTAAATAATTTCTCAATTTAAATGCTTCTGCACTACAGGTCACTGCTATCAACATCAGCTCAAATCACTTCATGTGATCAAATACCCAAGCCCCTTCCCTCTTGACCCTGCTGCTGTGGAACCCACCAAAGAGCAGAAGAAAAGGCAAATGCTCATTTTACTCTGTTTTTATTTCAATGTAACATGCAGTAAGGGAAAAAAAAAAAAAAAACCAACAGGATTGATTAGCATTTACAATGCTTACAGAGAAAAAGGTCTTAAAAGCAACTTAGTTCAGATTTAAGGAAAAGCACTAATTAAACACAAATCTATTTCCAAATACTCACTTTGAACCAAAATGTGAGAGCATTTGGTAAATATTTATGTCTGCTGTTTAGTTGCATTATTTTATATAATCTCTGATTCTTGGGATATCCAGCCCCCATTTTCCTAACACAGCAGGGAAGACATATACATATGACCAATTAAATTAAAGGGGGAATGGAGCTGTGAGACCCCAGGGCTGCAAAAATATATACAAGCATTTACCTTTTCCAGAACTAAACATTTCTTCCATAAAAATATTAAATAGCCAGGCCCTATAGAACTAGGGCCAGGACTACTTCAAATATAACTTCTGTATTTTTAAAAATATAGGGCAGAAAGCCTTTTGGGTGATATTTATACATTTTCACATAATATCTCTAGGTCCCTAAATGAATCATGAAGCAGAATGCAGAACCAACAAAGCCTATTCTCTTACATTATCTCTTAATTTAATCTCATCCATCTCTAGTGGATATGGCAGATGACTACACTTTAGTACAAGAATTTGATCCAATAGGAGGTCTTTGTAGAAGGCTTAGTACTTATAGCCATGTATTAAAGTCCAGGCCTATGTAGTGAATGGGTAGTTGGCAGACATTCACTCTGTAAGACAAAGCAATAGCATATCTATTTTTAACCCTACCAACAAAAAGGCAGAGAGTTCCTACTTTGGAAATAACTAGGGCTTCTAGAGATGACATGTATTTCCTGTGGTATCCAGGGTAAAAAGAGGGCTGGGAGAAGCTGAGCTTTCCCTTCCCTGAGCGTCTCTAGATAGGGAACCCGTTCTCAGTCCCACGTGTCTCTACTGGCCATGGCAGTGGTAAAGAGTACAGTTGCACACGTTCAGAACCTTGTTGTTCTCGGATGAGCAAGAACTGCAGCGAGGGACAGAGGAACACCTTCTCTCCTGTGGAACAGGGCTGTCACTCTCGGTGTGTTCTTGGCTTCATGCTACATGTTCATGCTATGCTATCGACACAAAGTCCCTGTGAGTTATAAGGCTGTTTTGGGATTTGGCTATAATAGGGACTCAATTGGCGGAGGCTTCATTTCTCTGCCCATAAAGTCGTATCTATGGCGGCAGCCATCTTGACAGTCTAACTAAGTCAAGGTAAATTAACTACAGAGAAAGTCAAAGTGCATTCATCAGTTACTAAAGGAGCAGTCTAAAGTAAGTGAGTCATGAAGAAAAAAGAAAAAAGGAAAATCTAAAATTTTTAGGGGTGAGAAAAATATTGCAGATCAGGACCATGTAATAAGATGGAAACGCCTGCTCCTGTGTGTGCCAGGCACGAGACGACGGCCCAAATGTGCCGCTGGACATTGTCCTTTTGCTGATATTGTCCTGATTTCAAAGACTGCACCAATGACCTCGATTTGGATTAGAAATGGTTGCAACTTGAATACCTTAGCAATAATCCAATGTAACTGGGGTTTTGGATTATAATAAAACCATAAAGCTTTAATTTACATGTAGGATTTAAAAATCAAGAATGATCATAGATGAATTCAGCCAATTTAATTTTGATTTGGGGTTAACTTCTAAAACATGAAGGAACCACAGTGCTGATTCTGTTTGTAAAGTTTAGTATTTGCAAGGCAATAAAATAATTATCAACTGAATGAAGAGAGGTATGAAGTCATAGGTTGGCGGGGAGCAAGTTTTCCCTGAATCGAATAGACAAATCTACTTTGTAGAAGCTGTGAGTCCTGCGTCACGTCCAGAAGTCACATCAGAACGACGCACTGGTTCCTGCTCCAGGGAAGAAGTCAACAGTCAGGCCAGGCGGAAATGAGGGAGAGCACAAGCAGCAGTTGCCCAAGTGCCGCCGCCGCCGCCGCAGCCGCAGCAGCCACCGCCGAGCTTGCACTCTTGGCGAGCACCTCCTAGCTAGAGGCTTTACCAGGAAGACCTTGTGTATTGCAGTTTTGGAGTCGTCCCAGTGTGTCTGCAGAGTCTTGACAACAGCCACCAAGAGACCTACTCCCAAGTGAGACTTTGACACACACAGAAAACTGTTGTTAAGGGAACAATCTAGTGGAATAAGACAATGGAGATTTCATCGCTGTGTTAAATCTCGTGTTAAGTAAGTTTCTGACTACTGTTTTGTAGATCGGCTTTCTGGAAACGTTGAGTAGAAATCCAGAATCACTGGAAGATAAATCTCAACGGTAACATTAAGCTACTTACACTTGGATAACTCTCTAGTCACAGTCCAAGTTTACAATAAGATGTGCAACAGGCAGAGAAGGAAGGGGCAGGCACTGGAGACGAGTCCCTGTTCTCTGGTGGCCTAAGGTCTCAACAGTTACTCTTGTCCAAATCCTTCTGTTTCTTCAATGGCAAATAACAGTTTTTCCTTCAGTTGCTCATAGCTCTTGTAGGGTGGGAGGTCCAGGCGGTTAAAACTGAAAGGAAGAATGGTTGGCTTGAGAAAGGGAAGAAGGATACAAAGACAGATGTGGGCAGTGCCCTGCAGCAACACACTAAAGTTCTGACGTGGCTGAACCACACACAGCCTTTGAGGAACTCACTCCAGTGCCTTCTCTGGTAAACTGGGAGAGCAACACCAACCCTTGTGGTGGAGTTAGAACCACGCACGCGCGCGCGTGTGCACACACACACACACACACACACACAGTGCCAGTGCTTAGCAGATCCTCAGCAAATGTCAGTCTTCTCATGCTGCCCAACTACCCACTCTACATCAGCGGTCATCAAACTTACTGTAAATGGCCGAAAAGAAAGACTTTAGGCTTTGCAGGCTTTTTATAAAAGGTTTTAGGTCTATCATGTTGGAATAAGAAATGATGGGCCAGGTGTGGTGGCGCACGCCTTTAATCCCAGCATTCAGGAGGCAGAAGCAGATGGAGCTCTGTGAGTTTTAGGCCAGCCTGGTCCATATAGTGAGACCCCATCTCAAACAAAAACAATATAAACAAACAAAAATAAAAAATGACTCTCTAATACTCGGCTCCCTCTACAGTTCTCTGTTCTATTCCTAGCTGGGAATTTCTCTAGCCCAGTTTTAAGGTTTGTTTTTTTTTTTATTTTTTCTTTTTGGTTTTTTGAGACAGGGGTTCTCTGTGTAGTTTTGGTGCCTGACCTGGATCTCGCTTTGTAGACCAGGCTGGCCTCAAACTCACATAGATCCACCTGGCTCTGCCTCTTGACCACTGGACCATCTCTCCAGGTCCATAAATAGTTGGGCATGATACTCTATGTCTATGATTCCAGGACTTGGGCATTAAAAGCAG